CATGATCTCAGGGTCCTGGGATCGAGCCCCACATCGGGCTCCCTGCTCGGCAGGAAGCCTGCTTCTCCCTCTCCCACTCCCCCTGCTTGTGTTCCCTCTCACTGTCTCTCTCTTTGTCAAATAAATAAATAAAATCTTTAAAAAAAAATACCAGAATGTCAGAAACTCATTTTCTATCTCTGTCCTTCCCACTAAATTGTTCCTATGTGAGCATCACTTACGGTTGAAGCATCTTACAGTGAACAATGAATATGCGGCATAGTGAGAAATAATAAATAGATCTCTTAAAGTTATGTTTTTGAAATCACACATGCATATGATTGATAAATCAGTCACATATAAAAGTATCCTGAGAAGTTTCTCAGTTTCATTTCTACAAAATATAATACTTCCAAGGCTGACATTTCAATAACTAAAATAAGTCTTCAACAACAGAAAGAAGTGTTTGGATCAACTCTTTACCTGGGTTACAAACTAAATTTATTTTAAATCTTGCTTTCTAAGAATCAAAGAGAATGACAGCAGAAAATTAAAATGACCACATTTTTGAAGGACCAAATATTGATGTTTTAATTATAGAATTGACAGTCTAGCTTCAACAACTCAAATAAGGCACCTGACATTGGCCTGGGAATGGGTTTTATCCCACAAAGATGTTTTGTGTCTGACCTCCAATGAGTACTTAGAATTTAGATAGAGATAGGAAGCTCAGAGATATAATTTTAATGTAAACATTATTGTAAATAGGATCTACTTTATTAAAAACTCATTTCTTCTCCTATAAACTCTGTTGGCAACAAGCTAAGGAACTTAAAAACCTGACAAATAATGTTATGGAAGCTATGCGTGTGTTGTGGAAGTTGTATGTTGTTAAAACTGTTAACTTTTAAATGACAACTGTACTATTTTATCATAGTAACAAAATGATGACTCTGTGAGTTCTATGTGGGAACCCTGTAGTTAATTTTAAAACTGCCCAGCAATCTACAGGTAGACTTAGAGATATGACAGCCAATGAGGACCTTTGATGGCCTCACAAGGGTGGGTTTGATATGGTATTTTATAATAGAAGGGGGAAAATATTGAGCCAAGTGCCAAGTACCTTGCATTCCGAACGTAATCACAGAATGGCCTTTCGGGAGGTAACATACATATTTACCTGGTCTACCCAGAGCCACTACCAAGCTGTTCTAAACTTGAAGGACAGAAGGCAAGTGACTCACCTGCCTGGTATTTATTTTGCAAAGCAAGGACTACAGTGAGTCTATTTCACTCCAGAACCTCAGGCTTCAGAGTTAGCTACTTAGGGTCTGTGTGACCTTGGCCAGTTTCCATAACCCGAGTCTACAATTTTTATCTATAAAATTAACAAAAGTAACCTATAAAAGCAGAATAGAAATACCTATCCCACAACAACTAAACGTTGTTAGAAAGGTCCAGTGAGATGATGTGCCTTAGCAGTGCGCCCGATGGATGGTAAGTGCTCAGGAAACGAGAGGACTTTGTATTACGCTCCCCACGCACTGTTGACCACTGCGGGGAAGCAAAGGAACTGAGCTGCTCCTGCTTTGTCTCTTTACCTCACAGATGTGGTCACCGCAGCTGAATTGCAGCAGTTTCTTCTGGGTTCTTCCAAGAGGACGAAAGTTGTACATCAGGAACATAAAATGCGTGAGTCCCCCTTCCCGACACGGGTGAGATGCCAAGAAAGAGAGGTGGTTTTCTGGGGAGGATTGCTTGGCGGGGGAAATGTGTGTATCCGCTCCTGTGACGTAGAGTGCAGGCCATTCCCCTGTAATTGAGAATGAATGCCACCTGTGTACACACAGGAAACAGGTGAATCATTTTTCTCATGAATGGGCTTGAACTGTTCTCCCCCATGAGGGTTTCTCAATGCAAGTCATTGCTTAAATATCACCTCCTCAAGGAGGGCCCCTCTGACTACCATATTGAAAATAGCAACCCACCTCCCATACTGATTCCTCTTCCTTACTCTTTTCTTCTTCCTTAACCCCAGTAATTTAATGGAATATGGTGTTTTCACATTTATTACATCTATTGATTATTGTCTGTCTCTTCCAGCTAGTGTGTAATCTTTTTGAGGACAGGAATCTGTGTTTGTTTTTTGCCTAAAGAGTTGGTAATTTGTTGAATGAACAAATAAATACATAGATTTATTCACCTTTGCTTGTATATGCACAAAGAAATTCTAGAAACTCCCTGAAAAAATAATAACAGTTGTTACTAGGGCAAGGAAAGTGGGAGAGGTGGTCTGGACGAACTGGGTGTGGGGGTTGGAGGGAGATTTCAATTTTTGATTTTTGAACCATGTGAATTTTTGGGGTGTGTATGTGTGTGTGTGTGTATTTCAGAAATCACTGTTTCTGAAGTCACCTGCCATCTCTGACAGGCCTGACTTCCATCTCTCCACTCTCTCAAAAGAGATCTGTCTTCCTCCTTTTTCCTGTGCCTCTTTAATTTCTCCGTAAAGCCTCAAAATAGTAAATTTTTCCTGCCACACATACATATGCATCAGTACATATCCTTTCTGTGTAAATGAATCTTGTAAGAAAAGTGTAATATTGAACTTTGGTTTCAAAACAGGGCTATCCTACTCACATACAGAATGTAACCAAGTGTTTAGTAAAGGCTTCTTATTCAACAGCAACAATGAAAAGTTGACTCCAGGAAGAGTGGTGGTGACCTTAGAGGGTTTGATAAACTGATGGTTCATGCTGGCAACTGCTTTGTCGGGCATTAGCCCTCTCTCCCAGAGGTCACCTAACAGAAGGTCCATTGTGTAGCAGGTGAAGTGACCACTGTGCTGGGAACATGTGCTCAGGGGTTCTCCCTGCTGCGCATTTCCCTGAGGCCTGGTATCAGCTTCCATGCTGCACCCTCCACCATTTTAATGGAAGGAGTCACTGGTGTTAAGCCATCTGAGGGGAATGCCTCAGAGAGACTGAGAGAACACAAACAAGCAGATCTGCAATGTGGTGTGAAGAAAACAGAAGAGGCACGTGAGTTGGGATGTGTTAAACATGATGAATTCATTTACACAGTCACCCGCAGAAGCAGCATTATCTAAAATCAAGACAAAGCCAGGAACCTTGCCTTCAAATCGCCAGTGTGTGGAACACAAGTAAAAGCTTAAAATATAGATGCTTTCTTCTTCCCCTCCAACATCTTTTTCACCTCCTCACACATTTTCCAGACAGAAGCAAGCAAGTGAATTATTATTCTGGCCAAATTCTTCTAGGAAGGAAAGAGTAAACTCAATCCATCTTCATTTCTCTCCTCTGACAAAGTAGGTAAGACAGTGATGATATCAGTCTTTTAACTCACAGGATTTTGTCCACAGGGATTTAATGAATATTCATTAATACACTGTGATAAGCAATGCAAAATTATGAAGCATAGCGAAGTGATAAAGGCCATGAATTATAAATTCCTAAGCCCTTATGCAGAAAACTGATTTCTTCTCACTGCATTAAGATCTGACCATCCCTAGATCCAGTGCCTTTTGAGTACATCTATGAATTTTAATTAAGTAAATAATTAAAATCTGAAGAAAGTCGTTTCTAAAATTTTATTTTTAGTCAAAGTATAGTTGGCTAGTTGGCATACAATATTATATTAGTTTCATGTATAACATCGTGATTCCACATTTATATACATTACAAAATGCTCATGAAGTGAAATATAGTTACTATCTATCGCCATACAAAGTTATTACCATATTATTGACTATATTCCCTATGCTGTACTTTATATCCCATGACTTACTTATTTTATAACTGGAACTTTGTACCTCTTCATCCCCTTCACCTATTTCTCCCACCCCCGCCCCTTCTCCTCTGGCAGCCACAAGTTTGTTTTCTGTGTTTATGAGTCTATTTCCATTTTGTTCATTCGTTTTGTTTTTTAGATTCCACATATAAGTGAAATCACATGGCATTAGTCTTTCACTGTCTGACTTACTTTACTTAGCATAATACTCTTCAGGTCCATCCAGAAAGGAGTTATTTTAAATATAAAGATTTATTCCTAATTTTTCACAAAATCATTTCCCTTTATACAAAACATTAGTGAACAGTAGTCCTCCAGCATTGAAAATTGTGCAAGTCACATATCACAGTGACCTATAAATGTCTTGTATTAAAACAAAGCTTAAAAAGATTTTTAATCGATTTGTTAAGACTGTATTCTATTTAATCCACTAACCTAGAAAATCATGTTACTGTAATTAGAAGTAGAAAGCAACATTTTCTAAATTGTTGCTGATATTTCTCCGTGTTGGCTGTTGTTTCTATCCTGAAAGATTATAATGGCACCACCCCTTGAGATCTGGCCCCCAAACAAGCCTGTCTGTCCTATGACACCAGGCTGCAAGGAGTTGACCTCGTTGCTACTTACCACCATGACTATAGTTATCTCTCCACTGTAGGGGTCATACCATGAAAGAGGAGCAAGCCCCATCCCACCTCCAGGTGACATAAGCGCCCAGCTGGCAGGGAGCAGCTCAGATCGTCTGAGCAGCACCCACACAGAGAGGACATCAGACCCCAAATAACAACTTTGCTGTGAGCGGCACGAAGAAGGCACCATTCCACTTATGATTTTCAGAGACTGTAATACAGTCTTTGAAACTGGGCTTTCCAGAGCACTGAAGAGAAGTCACGCTTCAGTGGTCAAGTGCTGGAGGAAGGGCCAAGCCAGAGGCAAAAGCTCTAGCAGTTGCCATGGCAGCGGCAAAAGGACCAGAAAAGCTTTCCAGATGCAGGTCTGTCTCAAGAGTGTGTGATGCAATCCCATGTTGTCTGTGTTTACCACATCGGAATGAAAACAGAGACTGTCTGTTTTCCAAGTCCCTCAGTCAGTTTGCATTAAGATTATCTGGTGAAATTCTGGAGGGGCGAGTGTGATGAACCGTCCGACCTGGGTCTTTAAGTTAGTCGGCAGTAAAGAAGGCTCGGGCCTTTCTTCCCGGCCGGCTTGAGCAGGAAATGGAGCATAAGCTAATCGCTGAGGCAGGTTTAGTCTGGTTGGCTGAAATTTCCAGCTACATTTGCCAGTCTCCAGCTGCAGAATGATTGATCTAATAGTAAAACTGATTTGGTCACGGGGCGCCTGGCTGACTCGGTCGGTAGAGCTTTGACTCGATCTCAGGGTCGTGAGTTCAAGCCCCATGTTGGGTGTGGAGCCTACTTCAAAACAAAATAAAACAAATATCTGATTGGGTCACTATACACTATTATTTGGAAATATTAAGAACTATTCCAGATAGTGCAGGGGAATGTTCTTTGAATCTGAATTCATTTCAGAAAAAGCAACAAGGGAGTAGTTCTTTTTCTCCTTATTCCTTTAAGTAACTTGCAGAGGCAAATCAGGCTCTCATTGCAGATGTCAACTCTTTCCCTGGGACAAGAGGCCAGACCCTGAGATGTGGGTCCATTCTCTAGATAAATTTTACCCTTCCCACACCCCAGGGGGGATCAAGTTACTTTTTTTTTATTGTGGTGAAATATATGTAACTTAAAATTTACCGTTTTCACTATTTTAAGCGTACAGTTCAATGGCATTAGGTACACTCACAATGTTGTGATCGACCATCAGCACTGTCCATTTCCAGAACTTTTTCATCATCCCAAACAGAAACTCTGTACCCATTAAAAAAATAACTCCCCAGGGGCACCTGTGTGGCTCAGTTGTTTAGGTGGCTGGCTCTTGATTTCGGCTCAGGTCATGATCTCAGGGTCGTGTCAGGCTCCATGCTCAGCGGGGAGTCTGCTTAAGGATTCTCTCCCTGTCCCCTTGCCTCTCCCCCTGCTTAGGTGCACACTCCCTCTCTCAAATAAATAAATAAATCTTTAAAAAAATAATTCCCCATTACTCCCTCTCCTCAGCCCCTAGCAACCACTCTCCTACTTTCTGTCTCAATCAATTTGCTTATTCTAGGTACCTTATATAAGTCATACAATATTTGCCCTTCTATGGCTGGCTTTCAGTTAGTGTAATGTTTTCAAGATTCTTCCATGTTGTTGCATGTGTCAGAATTTCCCTCCTTTTAAAGGCTGAATCATATTCCATTCTATGTATTTACAACATAAACACATCGTATGTGTATTTTGTTGATCTCTTCCACTGTCAATGGACATTTGGTTTGTTTCTACCTTTTGGCTGTTGTGAATAATGCTGTTATGAACATGGATGCCAATTATCTGTTTGAGTCCCTGCTTTCAGTTCTTTGGGGTATATACCCAGAAGTGGAATATGGTAATTCTGCTTAATTCTGTGAGGAGCCACCAAACTGTTCTGCACAGTTTGCACAGTGGGGCAATGCACACTGGCATGACACCAGCTGTACCATTTTACATTCCCACCAAGTGTCTCCTTTGAATGCCTTTGGGAAGATATAACCTCTGTGTTACTTTCCCAAGTTTCAAAGTGCAGGGGGGAAGATTGCCAGCAGAGCTAACCCCATGAGTCAAGGTCAGTACATTTCCTTGATGTCACACTGAAACCCTGATAATTTAAAGCCAGTAACCACTTGTTGCATGCCTGCTATGAACAAGGCAAGGTACCAAGCATTAGAGATACAAAGAGCTCATAGCTTAGTGAGAACATGTGGAGCATGTGCTCATATATGGACTTGTATCTGAGGGTAGGAA